AAGATTAACTGTGTCTGTCTCATTCTCTCTGTTGACTCTCCCTCGGTGTTTATATGTGTGTTAAATCCACACAGTCCACTTTTATTGTGGCCAATTTCTGGTTCATTGCAGGATATTAAGGAAATCAGCTCACATGCGGTCTGATCTGATAAGTCATAAAGCTATAAATGACATAGCAAAAAAAATCGGCCCACTTGTTTGCTTTTTAAAATAGGATATACGTACTGAGAGATCAGACACACAAGTCTCCGGAAACCCTCAACTTCTACTTTCAACACCCTACTGCTCTGAAACACTCGGCCCTCACTTCCTCTTTGATCAGCGAGAACAAGAAAAAACACAACGCTATGAGCTCTTTTTGAGTTCCGAGAAATGTGAAATTATTATAATTCCTCACTTAGAAGTGAATCTGAAATTTTATAAATATTCCTTTTACAGTTTGAGAATGTTAAAGTCACCTAAACACGTGTTAAGTGTGTGTGTGTGTGTGTGTGTGTGTGTGTGTGTGTGTGTGTGTGTGTGTGTGTGTGTGTGTGTGTGTGTGTGTGTGTGTGTGTGTGTGTGTGTGTGTGTTTGTGTGTGTGTGTGTGTGTGTGTGTGTCTGTCATACGTCCATGAGTCAGCCTCTCTGTGTGCTATGTACTCCAGGCTCAATCTGTGACCAGACCAACCTTGGGAACAGCAGCATACCACTCCATCACTGTCACATGTAAAAATACACACTGACTGAAGATGTGTGCTATGTCAAGGTCTGCCACCTGCTCTGTGTGTGAGTGTGCGTGTGGATCCGCTTATGTTGAACACACACACCCTGTTGTGTGACAGCTTGCACGTAGACTGTCAAAAGGTCCGTTATTGTTTTTATTACAAGCTTTAGTTTGTTTTTTTCTGTTACTGGATCTACACCACCGAATGGGTTTTTTCCCTTTTCACCAACTAAAACAACAAATTTAATGATTAATTAACTGTGTAAGACTACACAAAAAGAGGTTTGTTGTTGATCAAATGAGTATAACGATAATATCTGACATTGATGCTGTAGATTTGAGGGATTTTAGAGGCTGTAATGGGTCTAAGTGATACCGTTGCAATTTTCATTAAGGTATGATTATAGATTCTTTATGATGTCAACTTGAGTGCTGCAACTAATGATGATTTTCGTTATAGATTCATCTACCTATTATTTTCTAGATTAATCCAGTCATTTATACTATAAAATATTTAAGAATATAAAGTAAATAAAAAGAAGTCCAAAGTCACATCTTCAGATTGTTTGATCTGTCCCACCAACAGTTTAAAAATATTGAATGTGCAATGATGTAAAAAGGAGAAAAGCAGCAAATCCTCACAATTGAGAACGCTTGGCATTTTTGCCTGGAAAATTACTCAAACTATTAATTGATTATCAAAATAGTGGCAGCTTGTTCTGTTGATTAGTGTCCAGGGTGAGACCGAGTCAAGATTAAGACCATTTCCCCACATTGCATGACACACAAAAAAATGTGGAACGAGATCATATGTAGGCTACTTCTCAGATTTATCTGAAAGATCCACATTCACATTAAAACACCCATATACAAACACTAAGAACTGAAATCAACTTAACCGTCTTTATTTGACACTCCTTTTCCATGTTTACCATCGCGGGGAGGGGTGACGGTCGTTGGGGTAACAACACATTTTTAAATAGTGTTATTTGTAGCAATTGAAGCAAACGTTTTACATCCAATCAAAGTCAGGATGTTAACAAATACATCAGACAATACAAAAGCAATTTATTGATATAGTATATGTTAAAGAGGCTTATGCTTTTATGCTTTTTGGCTTTTCCCCTCTCCTTTATTGAGTTATATCTCTTTTTTTGTGCTTGTAACAGGTTTGCAAAGTGAAAAAGCCCAAAGTCCAGCGCAAAGGGAGGTCCCATCTCCCTTTTTTCATATCACCTCACCCCCGTTCCAAGCGAGCTGAGGGATACTAAAATGTAACGTGAAAACACAGCCGAATGCTGATTGGTCAGAGAGAATATTCACTATTCACTGCATCATCATTGTGAGGCCAGCAACAGAAAGCTTTAGTTTTTGTATGGAATTTCATCACTAAATCCACTTCTGAGAGGTTTTGAGGTGAGAAATCAGCTGTGTAGATTTCGAATATTGACAGTTTTACGAGAAGTGATGGCAGAACAAAAATGCTTGAATATTTTCGGTGGTGGCTGCGGGGGAGCTTGCGAGGCCCTCACACAGACCGCAGCAACAACGGCAGAGGAAAACACAGCTGGAAGGTTTTCATACCGCTTGTCTGTCTTTACATTCTGAGTAATATTGAAACGTTTTAACCGTAGATATATTTTAAGAGCTGGTGTGTGTGTCGCATTGAACATTATGTCGCGGCAGTTGTGTGTGGCGTCGCTATGACGACAAGCTACGTACTATCTCTGGGTACTCTCTGTAATGGAAAACGGAGCAGGGCCGAGTAGAGTCGAGTCTATAGATTTGCACTATGGCAGCATTTTTCAGCAAGGCAGCATAGATCGTCAGATCACCGGCAACAGTTCAACGTTTAGTCCTAATGGTAAGATGTGGAACAATGATGTTGTGTGGTTGTGGACTTGTGAGTAACTTATACCATCTGCTAGGTTATGGTCTCAGTCTGAAGCGGCTTTGATTTGGATCACACTACCTTGTTTCTTACGACCCGCCCTTCTCTGCTTCTGATTGGCTAGTAGTCCTTACCTGGGAACTGCGCATGTGCAACTCCCATCAAAGATTTTGTACAAGTAAGATGCATCACTCTGTAGCTCAAGCGGAGTGTACAACACATAGGATGAAAAGAGGAGCTGCAGCAATGTGCAGTATGAGAAAATATGGGTTTTTTGAAAATTAAACCATGTAAACCCGTTCTGGTACAACCCCTAATTAAGATTTTGAACCTGAAAATGAGCATAATAGTACCTCTTTAAGTTATGGTCTTGACTGGTCTTGAAATAAAATCCAGAGTCCTCAATGTCCGAGACCGAGACAAGACAGAGTACAAATGCGGTCGAGTCCGAGACGAAACCAAGACCATCAAAAGGTCTCGAGTACTACAACACTACTGTTGATACACTAATCAATATTCAAAGTCATATGTTTCTGTTATTCATTACATGAGCCTAAAAGCATCCAACTTAACTTTTGTTAGTTGTTGATTAGTCTACAGTTTGCTCAGAATCGTTAACCTGGACAACAGACGTTTGTTTAACGAGGCCTATAACATGATTATCTATAAAACCAATGTAATTCCACTGAAACCAGTGTGGAATTTAGCAATAGAAATTAATACATTGAGTTCATCAGTCCAGTCATGCCCCAAAAATAATTTCCTATTAATCACGGATTCATTCTGTAATCTTCATTTTCTCTGTGTCTCCCAGGTTCTCTACGACAGTCCCAAAGCCAGACGAGAGGTGGAGCTCCACTGGCGAGTATCAGGAGGGCCGTATATTGTTCCCATCCTCAGCCTGTATGAGAACATGCATCATGGGAAGAAGTGCCTGCTCATCATCATGGAGTGGTATGATTCACATTTCACCCCCTCTACTCATCAGTATACACACCCTGACCTATCAGATCACCTTTCTTTAACAACCATTTATTTTCTTATCATGTCTCCATATTTGGTGATTTTTAGTGTAAATGATCAGATAAACTGAGGGATTAAATTCAGTCCAAATGAATTCTTGAAAAGTTGAGTCCTGCAATTTAATATCAAAGCTGGCAACAGAGCTTACAGTGACCACAATTTCCCATAAGCCACAGCTTTGTACAGGAGCACATATAAAAAAGGATATTAAAAAGGAACTTTCTGAACTAATGTCAACAGTTGACCCGAAAAATGGGAAGTTACAGTCGCTGAACTCAGTTTCCACAGGTTTCCACTGGAATTTTTCCATCTGTTGGTGATAAGTAGAGAACATAAATTTTGTGGTGAAGAAAGACTTGTAACACCACAGATTTTCTTTAACAAGATATTGCCATCTCCACAGATCAGCACACAATCACAATATACATTTAAAGTTAAAACTGTGGCTTCAGTATAAACCTCACGGTTTTCCAGTAGGTTTATGTGAACCACAATTGTTATTTTCTGTATAAATATGGGAAAAATTTAGAAATAAAACCTTTGGATTTAAAATGTTTCCTGTCACGCTCGGTGTGCTTTTCAGTATGTGGTTTCCTCCTCGTCAACTGACAACATTTGTTTTTTCCACCATGTTGAGATGGCTGAAGGTCGTGGCCTTTTATTGTGGCCAGCCTAAGGCACACCTGTGCAATGTCATGCTGTCTGATCAGCATCTTGATATGCCACACCTGTGAGGTGGATGGATTATCTCGGCAAAGGAGAAGTGCTCACTAACACAGATTACAATATTTTAGAGAAATAGGCCTTTTGTTTATATAGAGAAAGTCTTAGATCTTTGAGTTCAGCTCAAAATGAATGGGAGCAAAAACAAAAGTGTTTATAATTTTATTCACTATATTTTCACGCATAGTAATATATAAAAATATACTTAAGTAGCACTTATTTTGGATGCACTTATCACATTTTAATTGTACTATACTAAGTGTATATTAAATGTGTTATTTTGGAACAACTTAAAGTATGTTAAGTGTCATTTTAGAAATACTTAAAGTCAACTTTAAGATAATTGCAGTATATTTTAACATACTTAGTTGTGTTAAACTGGAACCACTTTAAGTACCTTTACTAATTTAAATATACTTCTTTAAATTTAGGTTAAAATACCCTTTTGTGCTATACTTGAAAAGTTAAAGTAAATATATTTTAAACTTCACATAAATGTGTTCCCTTAACAATTTTATTAGCATTTCAGCTTATTAGTAATTTATTACTAGTATACTCCAAGAGCCACTATTAATATCTTGGGAAGCTGCTTTATGAAACCATTCAATATGAGAATAATTCATTATTAATGCATTAAAAATACCTTGACAAATACAGACAAATAAAAAACTTTAATTTTGTGGACATTACAAAAATAAATTCTTGTACATTAAAAGGTACAGCATCATCACTTCTTGACCAAAAAACCTTCAAATAAAAATAAAAATCAGTGAAATGATGACATATGACCAGTATTACTGAAAAGAACACTATACGCATCCAATCATTAATGTTACCCATGGGGTTCCCTCATATGGATTGGTCACTGGGCACGGCTCAGATGACCTCACGGCAAGCCATCCCACTTCTGACACCATATGCAGCTAAAGGCGGGAGCAGTCACCCTGCCCAGATTCAAACACAGGTCTACAGGGTACCAAACGTGCAACTTTGAGAGCAGTGCCAAAGAGTCAGGCTCATTGGTATGGCAGTCCAAGTGCTTACTCAACTGTAGTGAAGGTACTCCGTCACAAGCATGCAGTACAAATGGTGGAACCAAACTGAAACTGAAAAATGTCACAATCCTTATCCTTGGAGTGGAGGGTCGGTTATCTTTGAGTAGGACTCTTTGCATTTTCTGCGACTGTAGACACTATGGGATTTGGAAACTGCTTTATCACACAGCATCTGTGGAAGAGAAAAGGAATTATTTTGTCTATATCAAAGCAATATTACCTCTAATTAACTAAAAACCATTGTCAGATTTTTTATTTTGTTTAAAGCTGCTGAAACACAATATGACATCATGTCTAACTGTTCTGATGCTAACTGTTTAGGTTCAGATGAAATGGTTTTCCACAAGGGAAGTTAATGCTCAGTTCTTCCATTACAACATGATCATAAACACTACTGTACATTCATCCAAGGAAATGTATATGATAAAATGTTATTAAACAGGTACAACAATTAACACAAACATTCAGACTTACTTAACAACTGTTCTGTCTACATTTCACATTAACACAGCAGCCAATTTGTGAAGTACAAAAGTAGCCAATTACTTAATGTATAACAATATTTTAAAATTTAATTTAAAATATTTTTTTTTCTTTTTTCAAAAGAATATTTGTTTATTTAGTCTGACCCTGTTGACATGTAGTGAGAGCAAAAAGAGTGATCGCGTGCAGGAGCCAGAGATACCTATGAGCACATTGAGCTTGTGAGGGTCCAGCTGGTCCTTCGTGGCCTCTAAGCCATCTTTGAGTGAGGCAACGATCCCAGGAAGCTCTAAAAGAAAAGAAAAGCAGTTGCAAATGAGTTTAAATATTCAGTTAGGCCAGTACTTCCACCTAGTTTAGTTCTTCATTTGCAGATCATTATAAACACTGTAATTCTCTTCTTATAGCAAATCTTTATTATTATTCTTTATTTAATTTTCTTGAGCTAAGGCAGGAAGTTCCAACTCTGGATTTAGCATTAAGTAGGTTAAAGTTGGCAAACGGTAGGTTCAACTTTTAAAAGTTGAATACAGGATCTATGACCATACAAATGGACATAAAGTATTTTATATAACATCACATGCTATTATATTGTGTGGTCAGGCATTGCAGTACACAAAAACATTATTTCAAGCGCGTCTTAAAACAATTCTCACATACACGTGTACGCTTTGACATTGCTTTTATAATTGAGTTACTGGTCACAGTAATGATTACCCCCTCCATGGTTGTGAAGAGAAATCTCTAAAAAACAGTGTACCTTTAGAAGATATCCACTTTTGAATAGTCTAACGCAGATGCTTAGCTGATGATTCATAGTAGCTATAGCTAAACCTTAGTATGAATTTATACAAAAATGACCGCTGTGGTAACGTCTTTACAGACTATATGGGCAGGAATAATGATTACAGTGAATAACGTACTGTAAACGTGGACATGTGAGTATTAAGGTAGACTATAAAAATGTGAACCTATTCTTTAGGACACACACAGCAACATATTTATTGCATTTATTACTCTGATAAAGACCTCATTGGTCATTTTAACAGTGCAAAAGCAGAATTGAGGGCTCATACACACACACATGCACAGGCCTGCCTTGTTAAAATCTCATGCATCAAATTCCAGCAACAGGTTACTGAGATGGTATATTACCGACATTTTAGCGTGAAAGGTCTTTCACGCTGTGTGATTGGGTCGTCGATTTGAAAACCTTGATTCTAGTGATGGGAAAAGTCACTCTTTTGAAAGAGCAGCCTAACATTCATACAGTAGCCTAACACCTATCCATGAGTAAAATCTATATATTAACATCACAGGGCTAGCACTAACGTTGCTATGTGGCTGTGTTTTAATGGTTTAATGTCCGGGTCTGTTTGTTTTGAAGAGGAGACGACCTCTGAGGTAATTCAGCTCCCGGTAGGACTCTGTCAGGGCTCTGAAGTGGACCCAGAAAAACTCTCATCAGCTGTTGCCTGTAAACACTAGCAGGACTATAGTTACGGTGCAGCTGTGTTAAAACTATAACTTAGCACAACATCACTGCGCTGTAATAACGTTATGCTTTATTAAATGTCACAAAATTATCAAAATAGATATTAGATATATGTCAGTCCAGATTGCCTCTCATTCCCCGGTGCTGGCAGTAAGTTTTAACCCACTAAAAGTGTAATTGTGTAACAATGTACTTCCACAAAATATACCTAAATATTATTTACTAAGAGTTAAATAAATATATTTTTAATAAATAAAGTGTTGCGAAATTATTCAATTCAATTTTCAATTCAATTTTATTTATATAGCGCCAAATCACAACAACAGTTATCTCACAGCGCTTTTCATAAAAGAGCAGGTCTAGACCATACTCTATGATGCTATTTACAGAAGCCCAACAGTTCCCAAGACATTACGTTTTTATTTAAGCATGTTTATTAAAGTTTAATTATGTATATATTTATTACCAATTTATTCAAAGTATACTTTTGAGAAGTATGTTAAAGCTCAAGAGAATATATCTTTAATATACTTGTAGTAAGCATGTTAGGAGTATGAATGTACTATAAGCATACTATGTGAATTTCTAGTACATTTTCAGTGCCTTTAAGAGCACTTATTTTTGACCAGGGGACAGAGGGACTTAATTCCATCTGGGCTTCACATGTCATGATAGCCTGTCCATGATAATACCTCGAGTGACTCCAAAGACAGTGTGTGTACTTTGACATGCATAAATAAAAAGAACTTTGTGCATTTTATTGCCCCTGCCTGTGAATGGAAAATTATAATTCAGAGGAAAATGGAGAAACCACAGAGGGTGAGAGAAATTACACTCCTGTTCATGGGAAATTTGAACAGTCACTAACTTCATCTAATCATCGCATTTGACACAGACAACAATTTGTGTGGGATGGTTTGTAGCGGCCTTGTATGTGTGCGTGCGTGTGTATGTGTGTGCGCACTCTCAGTAATCTCTTACTGCTGTGAGCTGCTTCCTGTACGAGCGAGGGCCAAAGGATGACGGCAGCACAGCCCGCTGCAGTCAGCAGCACACAGCCACACTCACAGTTTTTTCTCAGCTATCTGGTGTGCACCTGTGTGCTCATCAACCACGATAAGTATCCATTTACATAATTCACATTAATGCACAGCCACATCTCAGTTGGCACAAACACAGGGCCTGAAGGGAGAGTTCCAGGCATCAGGTTGTGAAAATGGGGAGTGGGTGAGTGACAGTAACGTTTTTGGTGGTGAGAGTGTGTGAACTTTTAAAGAACTGGGTCATAGGTCTCCAGTACAAAAATCCATCAGCTTTAGTGTTGTTATACAGTAAATTATTATTTTGTAATCAAAGCCATAAATGAGTGAGACTAAAGAGGAAACAAATAGTAGCCATATTACTGTTTTTGTTTGTCAAAATAATCCCTGTTGGTTCATTTAAATTTTGGTACTTTTCCCTTCTTCCTTCTTTGATCCAGTTTTCTTTTCTGTTTTACTAAACAGGACTTTCACTCAGTATTTTGAGAATTTTCGTTTCCATTTCTCTTTGCATGAAAGAGCCTCAGTGTTTTGAACTGTAAAACAATTCAACATAGTTGTACTGATATCCACCCTCGTGTAAAATGCAAGATCTCCTTCAGGCTACTTTGCACCTGTGGAATTCACCTGTTATACTGTAATTGTGATGCTTTGTGCATCCCCAGACATCTAAAAAAACATTTATTTATTAGTTCCAGCCTTGATTCATCACTGATTACATGATATTTCCCCAGTGTTGTCCCAGCACTGCACTACATGAGTAGAAATTGCTTAAATTGGAAAACATTTAACACTTATTATGGCAAAACATTAGGTAAAATATTCTTTCTACATATTGTTTCATCTGAATCCTTAAAGTGTTTTTTGTAACTATCAAAATCGGCATCTGCTTAGTTATTAACTTTCATTGAAATTAGATGTGGGATATACAGGTGATATTATGCCCTGGAGTGTCATTTATACAATATGTTAATTGTGTATGTGTTTCCAGTATGGAGGGAGGAGAGCTGTTCAGCCGAATCCAGGCCAGAGGAGACCAGGCCTTTACTGAGAAAGGTGAGGACTGACGGAGAGATGGACTGTGTAATAAACACATGATGTTAGAGAGAAAGAATGAGCCATAATTCCCAAGAACAAAAAAGGGAAATAAGGCAGACATCTTGGATAACATTAGACAGGAAAGTACAGAGTACAGTATGTTTGTTCCTTTCTTCTACATGGTCTCTGTTGTTGTGCGAGGCTGGTTTGAGAGAGTGGGTTTTCTTTCTTTTCTTCCCAGAGGCTTCTGAGATCATGAGAGACATCGGCACGGCTATTGACTTTCTCCACAACATTAACATTGCGCACAGAGACATCAAGGTGCAGAAAGATCACGATCACCACCCAAATCATGAAGAGTGTTCAGTTCTGGGTCATTCAAGGAAAGTGTGTCAAATTTTTTCCTTCTCTTTCTGCCTCCTAACCAGCCAGAGAACCTGCTGTACACTAGTAAAGAAAAAAACGGAATCCTCAAATTAACAGACTTTGGCTTTGCTAAGGAGACAACGCTACACAACCCTCTACAGACCCCCTGTTATACACCGTATTATGTGGGTAAGTTTCTTTAAGTTATTTTCCAAACCTTTCTAATGTTCCTGACAGATGAACTGTTTACAGGGCTTTGACAGATGTTTTAATGGGAGAAAATATGTATTTACCACAATTACAATTTTTATCTATGTCTGTGTGTTTGTGTTTCACCAATGATAAGCTCCTGAGGTTTTGGGTCCAGAGAAGTACGACAAGTCATGTGACATGTGGTCTCTGGGAGTCATCATGTACATCCTGTGAGTACTGGGTGTGGGGTTGGGACGGGAATCATAGGTCAGTTTTTATATATAAATATGCATTTCTAATATGAATAAACGCTATTTTTGGAGTTTTTCATTGGGAACGGGGTGGGACTCATTTTTTCAGGATTTTGGATTGACTCATGGGATTGGGCTGAGAGGGGAGTATTTTTGTGGGAGTGGGATTGGACGGGAGTGAAAAGCCACCGCTGGGTTGAGCTCTAACATGGATTCCTTCAAACAAAGCGTAGTTGAATCATGTTTGTCTCTGCAGATTGTGTGGCTTCCCTCCATTTTACTCCAACACGGGCCAGGCCATTTCTCCGGGGATGAAGAGGAGGATCAGGATGGGCCAGTATGAATTCCCCAACCCAGAGTGGGCTGAGGTGTCACAGGAAGGTGAGGGGAAGAGATTCAAACGTACCCCAGGCAAACTGGATGAGATATGTAGCAACTTCAACCAGCAAAGAAACCTGAAACCTCCAGTGCAGACTAGACTTGTCAGTACAGAGAGTGAGAGTTTGCACTAGTTTTAACAGCAAAGGCAAACTGGACTCTGGAGCTTCTTTCTACTACGTATTATTGATGTGAATGCACTGTAACATCATAACAGATATTTCTGTATGTTTCACAACCACCAATGCTGTGTCAACCTCTGCAAGTTAGTAGCTAACAAACAGCATAAACTAATTAAAGATGCTATCTGCACTTACCATCCTCATCTGAGTCTGACTGAGGCTCAGACACGTAGGCTGTAGGCTTGATGCGCAGCACTCTTTCCACCAGTCAACCCAGCTCAAGCAGTGGTGTTGGCCGGGGAATTCATTGATTTCTCAATGAGGGAGAAAGAGTAGATATATTTCCATCTCTTTCATTTTAATGTTAAAGAAAGTATTAATCATAGCAGAGTAATAAGATATACTTTCAAACGTGTCTAGGGAACTTTTTTCTGCTGAGATCAAGCAGAGTAACCAAGCATCATTGTATTATTTACATGCATCGGTGTGGACATGGTCACACTGTAAAGCTTGCAGCACCCCTTGCAAAAAACAGGAAACCACAAGACAGCAGCGCTGCACTGACTCTGCCACTTTACTGAATGACCCAGTCAGACATTCTCATATAGAAAACCTAGTGCGTGCTGCAGCTGGTCACACATATATTACATCATGTCTGGGGGAAGCACTGCACTTTGCTTTTAGACAGCGTCAGTTTACATCTTCGTGCCTCTTTAATCTTCATGGGCCTTCACCTAAGTGCAGTGTCTGTAAACAGACAACATATTTCTACTATGGTTTAGGTAAACTATGGTCTCTGTTTGCCTTTGTTGGAAGTATAGTGCTGCCCTGAAGGTCACTCTGGTTCACCTCCCACACTCACTGACTGTTGATTTTACACTGCGAAAAACTTAGAGCGAATGATAGTGTCCAAACTCTTCTATGAGACATTTTACAGACAACTCACAGCCGACATCCTCCTCCGAACCAGCAGCAAGGCGTGACTCTGTGCACATACTGCCGTTTTTCTGTTTCACTCAGTCTCACTCTTCTCTAATCCTATTTGCTGTTGTAAGTAGGCCAGTCTGTCCCTAAAACCAGGAAAAGCTTCACGAGACAGTAAGATTTGCATGTGTGTGTGTCTTGCTACTAATATAGTTATTATCTTTGTCTCTGTTATCTCTTCCAGCAAAAGATTTGATCCATAAG